AATTGAATGCTAGTAGTGCAGATGACTAGAACTGGAGGTATTGGCTAGGAAACACAATGGGACCACAGGATAAAGCCTTGCATAGTCCACATTCAAAGGAGATAACAATATCACAGAAAATAAACATTTTCCACACGTTTTTCTATGGTCTTGTCCAGGTGTTTTTCAAAAACAGAGGGTAAAACAGTGTATTGAATGTGTGAATATGAGTAAAACAAACCAACACAGACATAAATGTCTATTTAGGAGCTCACTGTATATAAAACACCTAAAAAACCTATAAAAAACCTAAATTGATAAGCAAGACTGTTTCTCCCCCTTAAGACAACAGAGGGAGCATTTGTTTATCACTTATATACAATTATAAACAGTCTATGATGCCATTAAGAGGTTAAAAACTCCTATGGAGGTCAGGAGTGTCATTTACTACAACTCACTGTTGACGTGTTCTGACCCTGGAAAGTATGAGGAATGGACCTTCCTTCAACACAGGCCCTTGTTGGCTATTGAGGCCAAAGCAACAGAATTCGAAGCTCCTATTGGCTCAAGTGAGGTGCCAATGAAAAGGTCAGGGCTTCACCTTCATTTTAATATCTGAGAAGTCGGCATATTTACATGCAAAGGGGAGGAGTTATGGATCATATGTGGGGAAATATGAACATTTGAAACGATGCAGTGGTAGTTCGTGGATATCTTTGGATGTAATAATGTGTTTGGACTAAATATTTTGCTGGATTTAGATCATCTGGACAACTGACAGTGTGTTTGAGAAATGGGCTGGGAGCTGTGTAGGCAGCAATCTGTCCAGATAATATTGATCAGTGGATTAAAATTATGCTAGGTGAGTTAGTATAATTGTCACAGCTCTGGCAACAATTATACTAACCCTTTTCCTTGTGTTTCCCAGCTCCTACTCCCCTTCCTGTCTCTGTGTGTATGTGTGTCTATCTCTGGAGGGTGTGGCTACTGCAGTCAAGCGCCTGGCTGAACTTCACACCTGCAACTCATCTCCTCTTTATCAGCCTCTGTACAGGAACTCAGGCCTCCACTCTTCGCCAGATTGTTCCGTCTACAATTTATGAGCATCTACTCCTCGTGTCTGCACTCTCCTACGACCAATTCAGAGAGGACTCCGACAGCAGAAACCACTCTGACTGCCCTTTTGGCCTGCCCTCTGCCATTTTGCTTCAACCTGCCCGTCTGCAATCTCCATCAACTCTGCCTTCACCATGCAGCCATCTGACAGCACCCAGCTCTATAAATAATCACACTGAACTCTTATTCTGCCTTTTGAGTCTGCTTTTGGGTTCCACACATTACTACAAACCTTAACACTAACAGATTAAGAGTGAGAAAGACTGCATTGGGTAGGTGGGTGGGAGGGCTGGTGGATCAGGACTTTCACCCAGGAGAGCTGGGTTTTGGGTCATGTGAAACCCAAAGTCAACATAACCCATAGTTTATGTGCCTTAACCCAACGAAAGTGAAACTTAAAAAAACTGTGGCCATTTCATAATGTTGGATATGCAAATGCGCTGATAACGCTCTCTGAACCTAATAGTAGGTGTGGCAGACCCATCTAACCCATATGTATGAGGCTAAAAACTACATACTAAGTTATGGCCATTTAATGGGCTGTTAACATCTAAATCTGCTTAGAAAACTCCAGAAGTTGCCTGAGAATCATCATGTATTTAAGTTGTCTTTAGCATCAGAGTTATCTGGTGATAGTTGTCTGTACATTCACTGGTACAGGCTATTGCAAATACACATATATAAAAATATGTTTTAATGATGCCAATTTGCCAAAATGTCCACAAATATAAGCTAAAATAAACAGGGCTCAGAGTGTAGCCCAAAGCTAACTGACTGACTCCATGGCAACACCTTCCATCCTGCAAACAGGAAGTTTTAAACCTAAAAAAATCCCTGCTCTAGCAGAACTTTGTTTGTATACCATCCTTGCAGTCCTCTATAACATCATGTCAGTGGCATGTTATATGATGCAAGGCAGAAGTTGCTTTGACCCCTGGAAAAAATGACCTCATCAAAGCCCCCGGCTCTGTGTATACATCTGTGCAAAAGCAAAAAAGACATCTGCACAGAAGGTGCTAGGCCACTTAGGATCCCACAAGTTTTCTTTTTTCACTCAAACATACCAACATTAACAAACAAACAAAAAAAAACCCAACATATTGACAATGTCCAAATTTTTCCATTAATTGGTCCCTCCTCTTTTCTGCTTCATCTGTGTTCATGTTAATTGTTCCCAAAGCTGCTATCTGTCTGGAGGCCACTGCAAACAAAAATAGGATGATTGTACAAATAATACAAAACAGTGATCTCAGCCACTTCAAAGCAAGCAGGTCGGCCTGGAAACGTGGAGCTGTGAGAAACTCAGCAAAGGCAAGACTGATTTTTAAGTGCTGACAACTATTTATGTAACAACGGCTGTAGCTCATTACAGAACACTTGTTTTGAACAGCACGTTCTCGTCTTGGTATGTCATGGTAAAACCAGCAGTGACCAATGGAAAAGAAAAATCACACCAAAGTTCAGTCTTTTGTCAAACAGAAGTATTAAAGTTCAGCTAAAGTTAAATTGGGTTACAACCTTTAATCTTTACTGAAGCAAGTAGATGTTGTTTGCCTCTGCAGGGCACTTAATTGTGAAGCTAAAACAGAGGTCATGCATCCTTGGGACAAACAGAAAATGTCCCCATTAAAAGTCTTTTCACTGGCTTTTTTCATTAAACCAACATGTGGCAATCAAACTTGTTGGACCCACAGCAGTAAAAAATGCTAAGAGCCTATTCTGGAAATACGGTATGACCCGGTGTTCTGGCTTCAAAGCCTTTTTCCAGCTGGTTCACAGCGTTGCCCTGACATATTTTATGTATCATAATAACCTTTAAAACTGTGTTGGTTATCCACACGCATCAGGTTACTGAGTATTTATGGTCTAAAAGGGTTTTAAAGAGCACCAAAACTGTACTGTAAAGACTGATTTAGTATCCACATGCAGGACACAAACTCACAAATTTCCCATATTGATTGCCTCAGATTGTCTACTGTTTTGTGCTGCAGTGGATTTCTTTCCTAGTCTGCATGAAACCTGTCAGTGTATAACACATCATTCACAGCTTTTAAAGTGCATAAGAAATGCTGAAGAATGCTTTTATTCAAAACACATTACTTTTTACTACACGTTCACCCATGCATGCATGCAGGCAGGCAGGCAGGCAGGCAGGCACACACACACACACACACTGATAGGAGAGGAGCTACCACACGCAAGCGACTGGCTAACCATCAGAAGCAGTTATGGATGAAAGATTACTTACAGTGTTTATCACTATATAACTTAATTTGGTATTTCCACATTATGTGCATGCACCCCTTTCTATGTCACTGAATTCACACACCCTTCAACTGTAAACACAACTAGCTGATTCCTAAATGTGGGCTTACCAGTGGCTAACATTTATTGATCGTTGAATGTAAAAAAAAAGTTCAGTTCTCCAGCTAGGGGAACACAGTGGTGCAGTGGTTAGCATTGTCGCCTCACAGAAAGAGAGTTTCTGGTTCAAACCCCAGCGTGAGGGAGCCTTTCTTTGTGGGGCTTGCATGTTCTCCCCGTGTCAGCATGGGTTTTCTCTGGGTTCTCTGGCTTCAGGTTAGATTAATTGGTCACTCTAAATTGGCTGTGAGTGTGAATGGTTGTCAGCCCTGTGATAACCTGGGACTTGTCCAGAATGTACCCTGCCTCTTGTCTAATGTCAGCTGGGATAGGCTGTGTAGTTTAGGGAATAAACAAACAGCACACACTGCATCTATTGTTTATCCAACCTACTTAAGATGAAACCCCGCCCACCTCTGTATGATGAAAGCCTGACAGCTGCCTATAACAGCTACAGTAGCTTAAAAAGTAGCGATAGGGCCTGTTAGTGCGTTCCATTGTACTTTGAAGTCAGAATTTCTGAGTTTCTAGTCGTACATTTCAACTGGAATGCCTCCTGAAGCTGGATTTCCAACTCAGTTGGAGTTTTCTCAAAGTCGGAGGAACCTCACCAACCCTGACCTCAGAAACGAATATGGCTGCTCTGCACATTAACGGTAGAGAAAGCTGTAGTAATATGCTGATTATTATCACTTATGTCTTATTTGTGACTCACTAACCCATTCATACACAGTGTCGTCCAACATCTATGAGTGTGTTTTTGTACGCGCAAAATACAGTGTAATGCGTTGTTATCAAATGGTATTGCTAACATCTTGGTTTTCTGACTTGTTGTACTGGAACGTGATGAAATTGGGTGTGACGTTATTTTCAGATCTAATGTCTGACTTCCAAGTTAAATGGATCGCAGCATGTGTCCACATAGTGTTTTTTCTACAGCAGAAAAGCAGTGGCAGAGCACTAAGGAGCGCAGTCAGTATGTTAACATTACATTAAAGAAAATCAATTTATTGTATTAGTCCCACTTAAACCGGACTTTTAAAATAATGCAACTGGGAGTTGAATTACTCCTGCATGTAGTCACTTGGATCCAAACTGACCCCAAACTGTCGAGGATACAGTATTTAATGTAAAGTAACTGCTGAGTTTAATATTGTAATCCCCTACACTAGGCCAACTCTTTACTGGAAAAAGTAGTCTAATTACTGTAACATGCAACTATGTAATGTTTTACTGCCCAATTAACATACAGACAGAAATACAGAAATTAATATGCTAATGTAAGAATTGAATAAATAACTAAAACTATGCATTTGTAGAAATGTACAAATTAATTTTAATGTAATCCTTAATTATTTAACATATTATGTTTTCTCAAACAGTTATGAGGTCTTACTGTATTCTTTCCAGTATTTTTTGTGTAATTTACTGCATTTTCTGGTTAAGGAATTTTGAGGATTAGGAAGGAAACAAACCCTTATGTAGGTCACACTAATAATACATACTGTAACATTCAGCCAGAGGTAGTTGCAAGATAACCTTGGCCCGTACGGGGCTCGAACCCGCGACCTTGGCGTTATTAGCACCACGCTCTAACCAACTGAGTTAACCGGCAATGTTTCATGCTGAGTTTATAAATGGAAACACAACTGCCAATATAGGCATTTGATACAGTAAAGGAAAGACCGCCTGTGGCCTATGACATTTGATATGTTGCTTTAATTGTGCATCTCCCAAACAAATTACATTAGCACAATCTAGTTGCTACAGTATAACATGTACTTGTAAGTTTTACCCTTTGACTTTCACACAGGAAACACATTGAGGTTATACATGTAGATACATGTGAAATATATTTTTGCACTCGCATACCTCAGGCTGCACGGCCTCGGCTCATCATGTCATCTGTCCAATAGATCTGTGTGGGTGCATGTGCGTCTGTGTACAAATCTATGTACAAATTTAGTACTGTTGTGACAGTCACAGAAGAGTGATCAGGGTCAGTTACCTTCTCACGCACACACTTGTGCTGACTGACTCTGGCACACTGTGCTGTCATGAGGCCAATGCTGGTTCAACACATGCCTGGACATGAGTTCAAGCCAACACGTGTTTATACAGCAAATACACAAACTGAAACATTTCTATATAGAGACAATCTTAAGATGCACTCGCTACACAACAAAAAGTTGTTAGTAAATTAAACTTAACAAGAAGAACAGCGAAGATCCAACACAGCTAATGTAACCCGAATGTCAATGTCTGTGTTTGTAGGCGTCTCCAATGAGGCAATTTTCATAACAAAGCAGACCATGTCAAGAAATAAATTAGCTCCCCGCCACCACAACCATGCAAAGAACGGCTCTGATGTATGTGATTTCACACTAAATCACATCAAATGTCTGGCACTTCAAGCTAACGCAGATCAAATAAGTATAAAATAGTGTACGTTTGAAATTCTTTTTCTAAACAGGATGCAGAGGGGACTGAAGAAAAACAAAAATCTGCACCAGACATCTATTATGTAGCACTGATGAACAGATGGCAGCCAGATATGCCTTTGCAAAATAAAATGTCCATCACTTCTCTATGTTAATTCAAGCTTGAAAGGGGTAGTTTGGATTTTTTTTAAATGGAGTTTTATGTGGTACTTATCCATAGCCAGTGTAATACACACAGTCAGTGGCTGTCAACACACCTCCAGTTTAGAGAAGCAGGCTGAAGTGAGACATGGAAGCGAAGCAATCTACTGCTGTGGGTGGGGGTTAGCAACAAAGTGTATTTTAGCCACTTTAAAAAGTCCCACCTAAAAAGATTAATTAATTAACTGTACACAATATTGAGTATATTTCAGAAAGCATTCATATTAATTGTAATAATACTGAAAGAGTACTGTCATGAAACAAGCTGAAAATCCACACAGCAATTTCAAGTCTTTGCACTGACAGTTAAGTTGCTTTGCATGTCAAAGCAACGTAACCTGGTGGGTTAAGTCACACAACAGACTTGACAGTTTGTGGACGATGAGGTTTGTGTTGCCGCAACTCTTAATTTCCAAAAGCAACTCATACCATGTGAGGTATGCATGTGGACAAACCAAAATAGTTTTGATCCTATTTATATGCACTAAAGTTTACTGGTGCGCTAGTGTGGCTGTAAGCAACATAAATATGCTTCCTCACACATTATGTTCTTCCCCGTGTGTGAATTGTTGATACCAGGCTACAGAACACAACAAACTTTTTTTCATGTAATTTAAATGTGACAGGGGGAAGTCCCAAAGGCTGAATATAATTACTCACCATCCTTGATTGAGCCCAGCCTGCTCTGTAAAGACCAACCTGAAAGAGAACTCTTGAATAAAGAAATGAAAGAATACCAAATTAGAAACAGCAAAAATATTTATTCACCAGTCAAAACTTAAACTTCAAAATATGAGGTCTGAGGACTGAAATCCACATATTGATGCATGCATGCATGCAAGACTTCCGTTACCTGCCAAAATTTGTTTCAAGTCAAACTTTATGTACTCAAACAGAGTGGACAGACTGTACATACTAGCTCGTATGTTTCTTTCATGTGGAACAAATGTCAGGTTAGCAGTAAAAACATATTGATGGTGATGAGAAATATATTCCTCGTATGAGGCTTCAGCCCCTAATATTTTCTGAATAGCTCCAGATATAAATATACAGGCTATACATTTCAAAAATAAGAATAGGCCAGCACTTAAAATGTTACTCAAGTTAAAGTATTAGCATCAAAAGTACTCATTTAACAGCCCATTTCAGATTCACACTGGATTATAATTATTGATGCACTGATGTGTTCATCACTTTAATGTTGCAGCCGGTAAAGGTGGAGTTCATTTTAATTACCTTACATACTGCGGGCTAATTTAATCTTTGAAATCATCATCATCTTATCAGTTGATTAGGCTATGTTTTGTGTTATTAACTTGAGACTTCAATGCAACTACAGCAGGCAAATAAATGCGTGGTAAAAAGTAAAATATTTCCCTCTGAGATGTAGAGAGATGTACAGGAGTACAAGTGTAAAGTATCATAAAATGGAAATACGAGTTGTTCTAAAGCACAGTACTTGGATAAATGTACTTCATTACATTCCACCACTGTTAACAAAACTATTTCAGACTCTAGTCAATAAATGTTAAATGACAGCAGTTGTATTCTGTTTCTAGTCAATACTAATTACTAATATCTACTAATATTTAACATCACAATTCATAGTTAAACTGGGGGGAAAAAACAGTTTTTAGGGGTAAATAAGATGCCAGAGTGCATTAAAAAAAGCATCAAAATAGAGCTTTACATAAAAAAAAATTGCAGGGGAGAATACCCACTGGACCCCCCTACAAAGGTCCAAGCTAAGCCCCCAATGTCCTCAAATCCTAGAAACGCCCCTGTCGTCTGTTGAAATCACATCCAAATCTATACATCTGGTAGGTTGCAGAGAGCCAAAGGTAAAAAGAATATAAAACAACACTGTGTCTTAAAATAATTTTCAGCATATGAATGAACTGGGGAAGCTTTATTGGGTGATATACATAAATAGGCAGGTCTTGGACAAGAGCTTGCAGCACTCATGCAGGATGATGGGTGTGTTTTTGGTACGTCTCTATCAGGGAGTGAAACCAGGGGAAGAGTCTATCCAAACTTGTATTCTCCCTCTGTACCAAGCAAGCGAAAAAGGGTGGCAGTAGATGTGGTGGGTTATCAGTTCTCGAGGAAAGCCACGTAGTCAGTGAGTCTGGCCAACTGCTGCTCATTTGGAACCAATGAGACTGGGGGAGGATCTGTTGAGAGAGAGGAGAAAAAGACAGAGGAGGAGAGGCTGAGTCAGAGGGGGATTCCTTGTTGTGCCAAGTACCATCGATCTCCTTAAATCTCACCAGCTTTTACTTGGTGGCTACAGCCCATGTGTTCCAACTCAGACAGACTCAGCATGTCACAGGTTTCCAGTTCACCGCATAGTCGACATCTGAGCTCACTGCTTGACCCGTTTAACAACACTACCTAGAGTCTCCACATGTTCCTGTGAGACATTCAGCCCGGAGATCATTACAACACGTTACATTTATCCTAACCAGAATGATTTCCTGTGTGAAATCCACTCCACAACCAAAATTACCAAGCACTATTAAGTCCCAGTGGCGCTGTGGAGGGGGGGTAAAGCAGACACGTGAGGATTAATGGTGAGTGGGTTAGCGTGTTGTGCCGGACATGTGTGCAGCAGATGCTTCAGCAGTTACGTCTGATGATTACAGAGAGCAGGACATGCCAAAGCCTCCTCCTCGACTGTTTGCATAAATCAGCAAGTTTCTCGGACAAGATAGATCAATCAGGGTTCCTACACATTTTCCACTTCAGAATTACATACTCTTTGAGACTCAAAATCCAACTATTAACATGTATGCTACATTCTGACTATATATGCTAATATGTTGCCAAATAATTGCCCTAAGATTGTAGCTAGGTACTGTCAGTTCATCTGTAAACTGCTACACACAAAGCTGGACATCATACCGCTGTCAAACATCTCTGCCCAAAGAGTACATAAACTAACCGCTGCCTATGCTTGTATTATTTTCCTTTAACATTTTGAATGAACTATAAATGACTGTTTCCCCCATGTTATTGGTTATAAAGGAGTACAAAAAATGAGCTGTAGGGTTAAATAATATAATTTTCATGACATCTGTGCAGCCATGTTTATTCACTGTGACCATGAAAACAATGATGAACGCAGGCAGGTAAAAAAGATAGTCCATTCACTTTTTTAAAAACTACATCACTGCATAACTCATATATTCAGACAACCTTAATATTTGGTTATTTGATATGCTATGTATACATGCAATGTGAAGATACTGCAGAGATTCCCCCACACATGGTGGCCCACCACAGTTAAAACATCTGCCACCAGGTTTTGATTTTCTATTCTTGGAGCTGGACCGTTCATTAGAAGTGCTGTAGGTACATACAGTACAGGCCAAAAGTTTGGACACACCTTCTCATTCAATGTGTTTTCTTTATTTTCATGACTATTTACATTGTAGATTCTCACTGAAGGCATCAAAACTATGAATGAACACATGTGGAGTTATGTACTTAACAAAAAAAGGTGAAATAACTGAAAACATGTTTTATATTCTAGTTTCTTCAAAATAGCCACCCTTTGCTCTGATTACTGCTTTGCACACTCTTGGCATTCTCTCCATGAGCTTCAAGAGGTAGTCACCTGAAATGGTTTTCCAACAGTCTTGAAGGAGTTCCCAGAGGTGTTTAGCACTTGTTGGCCCCTTTGCCTTCACTCTGCGGTCCAGCTCACCCCAAACCATCTCGATTGGGTTCAGGTCCGGTGACTGTGGAGGCCAGGTCATCTGCCGCAGCACTCCATCACTCTCCTTCTTGGTCAAATAGCCCTTACACAGCCTGGAGGTGTGTTTGGGGTCATTGTCCTGTTGAAAAATAAATGATCGTCCAACTAAACGCAAACCGGATGGGATGGCATGTCGCTGCAGGATGCTGTGGTAGCCATGCTGGTTCAGTGTGCCTTCAATTTTGAATAAATCCCCAACAGTGTCACCAGCAA